GGAAGCATCAGAAGTTACTGTCAATTGACCTTGATAAAGTGGCTTTGCCCAGTTTTCGACAGAACCGACCCCAAGTGCGGCCATTGTCCCCTGGAGAAAGTGGTGCATGGGATATTCCTGGAGGTAAATATTGAAAAGTTTGAAAGCCACTGTTTTGTTTTGCTTTTAGTATAAGCTTTGAAAAACAGCGCAGTCAGAAGAGAGGCCATATGTTTATTTTCAGTTGTGAAAAACATGCCAATAATAGTGTGGCTGTGTTGTAACAACCTAAGAGAAATAGTTTTGCATGTGAATAGATTATTCAGAAGCATGAATGACATACTGAGAGGAAGATTTTGATGGGTGATTTTGGGGTTGTTGAAGTTTGTTTTGGTGCTGTTTAGACTGATGGGTGCCTGCAGCAGTCCCTGTCCTTAGGAGCTGTGGCTGGATATCTCCTGCTAATTAAAATTCCGTGTGTCAGTGCACAAGAGCAAAGTTCAGAAGAGTTTGAATGGTGCCCTGGGCAAGGTGTTACACTAACAAATGATGCTGAGCACTTGAAACAGATTTAAGTCTAATGGTGGGCTGTGCAAGCTTGGCACTGCAGGTTCTGCTGGAAGCAGTATGAAAGCATCACATGAAAGCTGCTAGGCCGTAAGATACCTGCGAAAACAAAGGGTCTGGTTCTGTAGCTCATCCTCATCATCTATGTGCACAGTCTCTGGAGCAAGCACTCAGTCACTTTCCTTATAGCATCAGGATTTGGTGTGATTTATAGAAATTAGTGATAAAATCATGGTCAAATGTTTGATCTCCCTTCTAATGCAGAACAGATGATTGTTGTTGCAGGGGAAATCTGGGTTATACTTTCATGTGCCCAAATAAGTAGAAGTGGAAATGCTTTTCTGTAATATTTGCATCCTTATTTTTGGTAATCATTCTGCAGTTGTTAATCTTCCTGTCTGAGATGTAATCTGATTAATAGCTGTTTGTCTTTGAACAAGAGTTACTATTTGGTCTTTTGGTAGATGGTGCTAACACTGTGAAGACATTGTCGTTCATGTGGTCACTAGTCACTTCCAAACCTCTTTGCCTTTCTAGGTATAATGCCTGGCCGGTACAACCAGGACGTAGGACAGACTATTCCAGTCTTTGCTTTTCTTGGTGCCATGGTGGTTCTGGCATTCTTTGTGGTACAGATCAACAAAGCGAAGAGCAGGCCAAAGAGACGGAAACCACGAGTGAAGCGACCACAGCTCATGCAGCAGGTTCACCCACCAAAGACGCCTTCGGTGTGAAAGCTCTCGCTTGCCAAAGATGACCTCCTTGTACCAGCTGCTTCCCTGGGCCATCCATGGTCTCCAGTGAAGGTGCTGGTCATGTTAGTGGTCCACACGTGACATCATCTCATAGTCTTTGGTTGAGTAAAAAAAGGACCGCAGTTGATCATCTGTACGTAAAACAGCAGCTTTGAGCAGCCGAAGCCACCAAAGACTTGAATACTGTTTAAATGGCTGCTTAGTCACTACATATCTCAAGAGGGGGGAAAACAGACCTTTTTTTTTAAGCTGACCAAACTAAAATTTATTTGTTTAGAGGCTATTTTCTATATTTATTTTGGGGGAGGGTGGGGGAGGAAAGTCACTTTAAGGACCTCTGCTAAGGAAAAAGTGCATTTTTTTGGATGGAATGTAATTTTCTAGAACGGTATTATGCTGAAGAGTAACGTGCACCATGACAGGAGGGAAGGGGATGAGGTAGACCAGTATAAACCAGTGAGACATACTCCTGCAGTTTATTTTTATAATGCCAACTACCATGATGTTTTTGTAATTTTTGGTCATGATTTCACCATTGTTGGTGAAGCAGATTTTCAGATTTTCAATAAATATGTTATCTATATGAAGCAAAGACATGTGCTGCCTGGCTCTGCTTTCCACTGCTGGTCACAGAGAGCAAGTTGCAGTCAAGTTGCAGGCTTTCCTTTGGAGCACAACCTGGGGAGTGATGCAAATGGCACTGGCCCCTCAGCAAGCACAGAAGAAACTTGTGTGGATGGCACTAACAGCATAGTGTGGTATGTCACAAAGCCAAAACCCTTGTCTCCTTTTGTTTGTCCTGGTTCAAAGCTTACAGCTGATCAGAGGTGATCGGAGGAGGGTCAAACTCATCAAAGATGCTCCAAGGCCTGGAGCATTCTGGGGACAGGCTGAGAGACCTGGGCTTGTTCAGCCCGGAGAAGATAAGGCTTTGGGGAGACCTTAGAGCAGCTTCCAGTGCCTAAAGGGGCTACAAGAAACCCGGAGAGGGGCTTTTAACAAGGGTCTGTAGGGACAGGACAAGGAGGAATGGCTTTAAATTGGAAGAGGGTAGATTTAGGTAAGGTATTAGGAAGTTCTTCATTATGAGGGTGACGATACACTGGCACAGGTTGCCCAGAGAAGTTGCGGCTGCCCTGTGCTTGGCAGAGTTCAAGGCAGTATGCCATCCCTGGCGGTGTTGGATAGGGCTTGGAGCAGTCTGGTCTAGTGGAAGGTGTCCCTGCCTGTGGGAGGGGGTTGGAACTACATGAGTATTTAAGACCCCTTCCAGCCTAAACTAGTCTGTGATTCTATGACTTGTTGCAGGTTTAAATAAGGATGCCCTTATTTAAAGGCACAAGTTGCCTCTGACCCTCCAGTTTTGGTTAACATTGCCATCACTGAAATAGCTTTTTTCTTTTGCAGTGAAGCTGTGAGGTTTCCCTGGCAGCTGCTTTTGTCACCGCTGCAAGTAACAGGACACTTTCCTAAGAGCAGGAGGGAACTGGTGGATGCCTCTGTCAGCAGAAGCAGTGCCCAGGAAGGAAAGTGGTCTTATGTACCAGCAAATAGTCCTGGTGAGCTCTTAGGCAGTTCACTGGCACCCATACCACCCTGGGCATGTCTGGAGGGGGAGAATGCCAGAGACAGCCCCGCTGGGCCATCTGACTACATGGTTCAGGGCTTACAGTCATGGATTGTGGTGGTGGGCCTTGGGAAGGGTGCTGCAGGAGGGAATATTTCTCCATGTAGCCTGGAGCAACCTCCTAAGAGGTGGCTGTGGATAGGGTTTTGCAGGACACAAGTGTCCTGCAAAATGGATTAGGAAAACCCATTTTCCCTAACCCAGAGACCAGTTGGCTTTTCCCAGGCTGCCTTCCCCTCCAAAGATGAGGATGCACTGAGTGAGGCAATATCCTGTTGCCAAGACAGAAGACGCTGAACTTTCACTTTGGAGCTGTTACTGGAAGGTCACTGGGGCTGAGGGGGTGGTCCTGAGGTTGGGCTACTTGTGCCATCCCAGTGGCACTGGAGTGAGCCGCTGGAGTGAGTCCTTTCTCTCCAACCACGGTCCTGTGCTGGCAGGGAGGGGATTTTCTCCATCTCACCATGGCATCAGGGTCTCTTGCAGGACCAGCCAGCTCTGCAGGGCATAATGGTTACAAAAGAGCTGTCAGTAAAGGTGTAAGATCTCTAGGGCCAGACCTTGCAAGTAGCGCAAGGTGTAATTGTAGTTGGTGTTTTCATTTGTTCAAAACGGGCTGTCGACTTGCATTCATGTACCTTTGTCTTCAAAGACAATAATGTGGAAAATAGATTGTCAACCCTTTTCCATCAAAAAGAAGAGAGGAGGGCACCTGCTGAAGGCGCACAGAGTGAGTAAAGCTGCCAGCCAACAGGAACCCTCAGGTTATGGCTTGTGGCCCCGTGACTGGAGCACCCAGATAAATGGGAGAAAGAGGGAAGAAAATAAGGGAGCTCAGAGCCACTGAGCAGAGAAATTGCTTGGGGCTGGTGTGGGAGGTGGGCTGCATCTCTTTGATTTGTGGCACTCCCATCAGAGGCAGCCTGGAAAGCTTTAGTCCTAATGAGGAGGGGCACTAATGAGAGATGACAGTTCCACCGCAGCATTCAAACCAGAGTCAAGCTCTATCAAAGCACCAGTCCGAATTAAGAGCCTTTCCCAGTGGCTGGTATTTTACAGCCCAGTGGCCAATTTCTAAATCGTAGAGGCCAATTATTTCCAAAGCCTTTGGTGTGCAGCTAATGAAGGCCTGGAAGGGCCCTGCTAAATGGTTATAAGCCCCGTAGGTGGCAGAGATGTAATGGAGGTGGCAGGCACAATTAGCCATCCATAATTCCTCCTAGCAGCTGATTAAAGTCTCTTTATCCGTTTTACTGAGATCAGAAGGGCACATACTTGGGAAATCAAAAATGCATTAGGGGCTGTTGGCCAGCACTGGGGGCCTGTGTGCAGAGCCCCAGGGTGGTGGCATGTACTGAGAGCGACACAGAGGTGCGGCATGTCAACAGTGTAGGGGATGAGCCCATCATCCCCGTGGGGTATAGCCTTCTCTGTGCGGGTCCCCTGTGGCATCAGTTACCCCATTGTATTGTCCTAGCACCCCCCTTCCCTGTTCGGAGCAGCGGATGGGATGCTCCAAAGAGGTGGTGCCTTACTAAGGTCTCATGAGTACAAGAGCACCCCAGTGGGCTTTTAATTGCTGCAGAGACACTGAGGGGTGGTGGCCTCATCCTGTACTCAGTGGTGAAGCATCCATCAGTCAAATGGTCTGAAGGACGCTCACTGCAGCTCCCTTTCCTCACCCTCCCTGACCCGGGATACTCCAAAATGTCCCGTGGTGGGAATTGCGTGGATGGGGTGAATACCGCTGGAACGGGGAGCCCCCACGCTGAGCCCCGTGCTGGAAGCTTCTGGGACTGCGGTTTTTCCTTGGTCTGTACGAGCTCTTTGAGGCTTGGGGGTGCCCACAGGCAGCGGGATACGACCGCTGGTCCCGAGCGGGGGAGGTGCATGAACCACGGTCCTCCCCCTGTCCATCCACCCGTCTTCAGGGCGATGCCGCTGCCCTGCCCCGAGATGCAGCGGGATCAGGAGGGGGTGTCCTCCCACGGCCGGTTCCTGCCCCGCCTCCCGCTGCCCACTCCCCGCTCCCTGCAGTAAGGGGGGTCCGCGGAGGCCCATCGCAAGGGTCAGCGTTGGCGCTGCCGGCCCGGCGCAGAGTCCCGCTGGGATGGAGCGGGCGGGCGAGGTCCGGCCCCTGCTGCCGCAGCCGGGTCCCGCCGGGCTCTCCTCTGCCGGCGCCGTCTGCATCCTGCTCAAGTCAGCGCTGGGCGCGGGGCTGCTGAGCTTCCCCTGGGCCTTCGGCAGGGCTGGCGGAGCTGTCCCGGCCCTCCTGGTGGAGCTGGTAAGGGGGGAGCGGGGGTCCGGGACCTGGGCGAGGGGCTGGCGGCAGCAGCGTCCTCGGAGAGCCCGCCACGGCGCTTGGGGGGCAGCGTCCACGTCCCAGGCCAGGCTGATGGGGGAATAGCCAGGGCAGGAGCTGCCACCTTGGAGATGCTCTTTGCATCAGCGTAACGTACAGTATAATTGGGTGAGTGGTATCAGTTGACAGGCTGGAAAAATTGGGGCTGTTCAGCTTGGAGAAGAGAAGGCTGCGTAGAGACCTCATAGCAGCCTTCCAGTATCTGAAGGGGGCCTACAAAGATGCTGGGGAGGGACTCCTGATCAGGGACTGTAGTGATAGGACAAGGGGTGATAGGTTTAACAGTGGAAATTAGGTTAGATGGAAGAAGTTCTTTATGGTGCCTCAGCACTGGAACAGGTTGCCCAAAGAAGTGGTAAGTGCTCCAACCCTGTCTTTGCAAGACCGGGGTGGACAGAGGCTTGGGCAACATGGTCTAGTGTGAAGCATCCCTGCCCATGGCAGGGGTTTGAAACTAGATGATCTTAAGGTCCTTTCCAATCCAAACCACTCTATGATTCTACCCTACATGCCCTAACCCACCAGACCTAAACCAAAAGCTTCACCTAGGGCTGGTTCTCCACCCATGTTACCTAGATGGCCACCTAATTGCTGGCCATGGCCCTGCTTGTCCCCCTGGGTCTGGGAGTGATGTGATGCTTCTTGATGGCTCCTGTCCCCACAGGGCTCGCTGGTTTTCCTGGTGAGTGGGCTGGCGGTGCTGGGCTACGCAGCAGCCCTCAGCGCCCAGCCCACCTACCAGGGAGTGGTCCGGGCTGTGTGCGGGGCAGCAGTGGGGAAGCTCTGCGAGGTCTGCTTCCTCCTCAACCTCTTCATGATTTCTGTGGCCCTCCTCAGGGTGGTGGGTGACCAGCTGGAGAAATGTGAGTTGTTTTCCTCTGTAGCTTGCTGGGGATTGAGGGGAAGGTGGTCCCATGTGGATTGGGAGCAGCCCCAGCATTTTCTTTGGACGCCTGAGGTCATGGAGCTCCCTGGCCTTGTCATGATATGATGCTCCCGACCTCCTTGGGCCACCCTTTGGGCACAACTGACATCCCTGCTGCTCCCCACAGTGTGTGACTCCCTGTACCCCAATGGGACGCTAAGTGGGGCCCCCCTGTCACCCCCCTGGTATGCAGACCAGCGCTTCACCCTCTCAGCTCTCTGTGTCTTTGTCATCTTCCCGCTCTCTGTCCCCAAGGAGATCGGCTTCCAGAAGTACTCCAGGTACCACCTGGGATACCCCCATGATGTAGCCACCCCATGGCATCCTGTGCCCCAGGCCACCTCCTCCCAGGTCCCTGCATGGCCATGGGACCCTCCCCCCCCCCCGGCTGCCAGGGGTCTCTGTGCTGATGCCCTCCCATGCCCCAGCAGCATCCTGGGCACGCTGGCTGCCTGTTACCTCACCCTGGTCATCATCCTGAAATACCACCTGCAGGCAGAGAGCCTGGGCTGGCCGGAGCCCTCCCAGCCCTCCAGGTAGGAGGGTCAGCCCCACATACCTCCCACTCTGGTCTCTATGGCATTAGCATGGGCAAGGGGTGGTCCTGGGTGATGGCACAGGGAGGAATGAGCTGGGGACAATGCTGGCAGTTTGGTGGGTGAGCGGCAGCCCCAGCTCCAGCTTTCACCCCAGCAATCCCCTCCTTCTCCCAAAATTACTGGCTGAGAGTTTCCTACTGTGGCATCCAGGCTTCACAGCTTATGCCATGCTCTGTGCTTCTTCCACTCCATGCCACAGGGCATCCTCCTGGGCCTCCATTTTTAGCGTCATCCCCACGATCTGCTTTGGCTTCCAGGTAGGTCACCCTGGCACCACTGTCCCTTGCTGCTGGGGCAGTGCTGGCAGCATCCTGGACCATAGGGACACTATTCCTTGCAGGGGGGTTGCAGGGAAGGGGACCCATTCTATGTCCAGTGGTGGCTGCAGGGCAGGACAGAAGCCCCTGGGGATGGGTGAGAGTGGAACAGGGCACCCCTGGGTGTGGGAGGGAAGAAACTGGGTATGGGGGTTGTCCCTGCATGGGGCCCCAGCAGCACCCCTCCTTGTTTTGCAGTGCCACGAGGCCTGTGTGGCCATCTACAGCAGCATGCGCAACCAGAGTTTCTTACACTGGATCGCTGTCTCTGTGGTCTCCATGCTCATCTGTCTGCTCATTTACTCCCTCACGGGTAACCCCAGCACCAGAGCCCTTCATCTCCTCCTTCTCCCGCTTGTCCTCATCTTTCTCTTGGCTCCTCTGTCCTCCTCATGACCACCCAACCCACTGCTCCTTTCACAGGGCTCTATGGCTACCTGACCTTTGGCGAGGCTGTGGCACCTGACGTCCTAATGTCCTACCCAGGGAACGACCCAGTTGTCATTGTTGCCCGCCTGCTCTTTGGTGTCTCCATCATTACCATCTACCCCATCGTGGTGCTGCTGGGCAGGTGAAGGGGTGGTAGCCAGCCAGGTGTCCCCTGGCCAGTGCAGCTCCACTGGGTGCTATCAGCCTTGCTGTTCCTCCGCAGGTCAGTGGTGAGGGATGTGTGGGTGACCCCCAAGCACAGAGCCATGGTAGTGCCCGAGGCGCAGGAGCAGCGGAACCGGGTGGCACTGACAGTCACCTGGATGGCCACCACGCTCACCATTGCCCTCTTTGTCCCAGACATCGGCAAGGTCATTGAGCTCATTGGGGGCATCAGCGCCTTCTTCATCTTCATCTTCCCAGGCAAGAGTGAGCAGTGGGAGGCAGAGGAAGGGTGCTGGTGCCAAAAGCATTGTTGGTGCAGGGTGGGTGCTGTGGTGGTGATGGGGAGTCCATCCTGGCCCCATTTTGAGGTGCAGGGACACATGCATGGGGACACTGCTGCGGGGCCTGGGTGAGGGGTGCCAGGTGGTGGAGCTGAGCCTATGTGTTGGTGGCAGGGCTGTGCCTGGTGTGCATGACTGGGACCCGCACCCTCGGGCCACGCAAAAAGTGAGTGTCTGCACACTTGGGAGCGGTGGGGAAGGGCAGGGGGACAGCACCCCTTGATCCATGGCTCCAGCAGGGTCGCTGGGGTCATCCTGGCCAAGGCAGGAGGAGTCTCATGAGGAGGGGGATTTGGGGCACCTGTAGGCACTGACAGGAGGAGCCTGTGGCGGGGCTGAAGTGTGGGTATGGAGGGATGTGTTCCAACACTGGGGATGTGGCTGGGTACCAGGGTTGAGTCAAGGTACTGGGGAGGTGCCCATAAATTGGGAATGTGCCTGCGCACCAGGGGTGTGCCCAGGAATGAGGCTGTGCCTAGGTATGAGAGGTGTGCACAGGGATCAGGGATGTGTCTGAATACCAGACCCCTTGCAGCAAGGCTTAAAGGCACTGGGGCACACAGTGGAGACTTGGGTGGGGGTCAGAAGTCCATGGTGCTCCAAGGCTGTAGAAGCCCATGTCAGGGGGACCTGGCACGTTTCTGGTGAGTTTTGGGGTAGGTGTTTGCTGAAGTGTGTCTGTGCTCCTGGGGGAGTAGCAGAATCTGAGTGAGGATGGAGGTGATGTGTGTGGGGCCCTGTCCCCCATGGCAGCTGGTGAGAGCACACCAGGGCCTTGGGGTCTTGGCCAGGATGGTGCACTGAGGGACGCATAGCTATCTGGGCAGGAGGGAGGGTGCCCTAGGGATGCCAAAGCACTGGGAGACCAATGCAGGCAGTGAGAAGTGGCACCGAGGTGAGCAGCAAGGACTTGGAGAGTTCCATCAGGGAGACCCACCAGAGTGTGACCCCAAGAGTGCCATCACCATGGGAGGGGACAGCACGAGCCAGGGAGATGGGGACAGCAATGGGACAGTCCCAGCCTGCCTGGGGCAGTTCGGGAAGGCGCACAGTGCTGATGACCCCACGATGGAGCAGCACCAGCAGCAGTGTTTGGGGTGAGTGCTACTTCCTAAGGGCTTGGTGTTTGTCAGAGGCTGTGTGCCTGGGGAGAGGGCGACAGGGAGGTGTAGACCCACAGGTAGCAGGGCTGGGAAGGAGCCGGGTAGGGGACATGTGGCAGTGGGGCGGGGGGGTATATGTGGAGATTGTGTGGATGTGGCTGTGCCTGAGCATGGCGGGGGGGGGGGGGGGGTGGGGTGGTGAGCAGATGTGCCCTGGGCCCCTTCGGCAGGGCCACCGGGTGCAGGCAGAACCGGGGATGCTCTCATGGTGGTGCTGTCAGGCTTCTGACCAAGCGCTGTGTGTCGTTGCAGTGGGGATGTGCCGGAGGGACTGCTGGGGTCTTCAGCCATCCGTGATGCAGAGGAGCGCGGCAGAGGAGGCTGAGACCTACAGAAGGCTCCACATATGGGGGTTCAGCGGGTTGCATGTTACTGGGGGTCAGTTTGGTCCCTCCAGCCCCTGCTCATGTTCCCGCAGGGCAGCTCTCATCACCTGGGGGGTCCTCTCCGTGCTCGGTGGTGCCTTCGTCTGCGGGCAGAGCGCTGCCCTGGCAGTGCTGGGGCTGCTGCGCTGAGGGGCCATGGACCCGCTTCATCGTGCACCCCCACATGACGCCCCCACCATACCCTCGGCACAGCTACACCTCTGGATCTCATCACGATTTTATTTGGCATGACCATCCCCATTATATAGAGGCTAATAAAGACAGGAGAGGGAATTGGTGAGGGCCCTGTGCCACACACCCCTCCAAAGGACCCCCAGACAAGGTGGGCTGGGGGCAGGATGAGCAGCGAGCTCCTCACATGCACAGACAGACACACAGACAGAAGTACAGACCCCAGGAAGGGGGGCATCTATCCCCACATCTGCAAGGCACCCACTGCCACCATGAAGGAAACCCCCTGGGACTACCCACACCTCACAGGACTAAGGGGCACCCCCTTCACCACCACCCTGACCACCTCCCCGCACTCCTCAAGGGTCCCTATCCCTACAGGCACAGCCTACTCCCCTGGGGACTAGCAGGGACCCCAGATTACCTCCCAGGGGGCCTTCAGCCTCCTGCTCCCACTCCCTGTTCCTTACCACCAGCTGCCACTCCCTGCCCACCTGTGCACTGGGAAGCCACTCCCCAAACCCTGTGGGGGGAAATCCCCCGCAGCCCACCCCACTCCAGAAAGAGGTGATACAGGTGATGGGGTAGCTGGGGCAGAGGGGACTCTATGGGGTGCTGGGAACACACATTGGGGTTTCCTTCACTGCAGACAGGTCACACTGACCCACACAGGGGTCACGGCCACCCCACAGCAGGGCTGGCACCAGCGGTCACTCTCGGCTCAAGGTGCACCAGGCAGCTGCAGGGGACAGGACCAGAGGGTCAGCCCTGTCCAGCCCTGCATCACCCTGACCCCCCACCCCTGCTCCCCACACTGGGAGCGGTGCCGGCTGCTCCGGGGTCCCTGTGCCCACCCCAAGGGATGGACACCCTCCTACCTGGCACAGCCACGCTGGAGATGGCCTCAGGCTGGCTCAGCGTGTCCACCTTGACGTGCTGGAAGCCCTTGCAGGTGGCACTCTGCAGGTGCCTGCACCGGGGCGGGAGACAGTGGGTGACAGTGTCCCACCAAATCACCATCCCAGCACCCTGCCACCCCATTGCCTCTGGCAGGGGCTGGGTGACAGCAGCCTCTTCATCCTCAGGCAAAGCACCCTCCCATGGCTTAGGACAGTGAGACCTCCCTCCCATCCCCTATGTCTAAAAGCACCCCCGGTGGGACATGCACAGAGACATCCCAAGCCCCTCATACCCTTTACAGTGACAGCCCTAAGACAGACAGACATATCCTCACCCCTGCCATCTGACAGGGGACAGAGCTTGGGGCTCAGCAGCTCCAACACCCCTCCACAACCAAGGACCCCATCCAAACCAAGGATTTTTACCCCTTCCCTACCTCTTCCAATCCTCCTCAGTCTCCCAGAACTCATAGACGATGAAGGTGACCCCATCGGGCAGCTTCACGGCAGTGACACTGGCAGGAGTGAGGAGAGGGGTGAGCCCTAAACCATGGGGCATGCCCCTCCCCCTCCCCTCTCAGCCTCTGCAGCCCCCGATGAGTGACCCCAGCCCCAGCAGTCCAAGTGAATGGGAACTCCCCTTCAACACCTCACCCCAAACAAAAGGGTTTTGGTGGCCGAGCATCACTGCGCCCCAAATCCTGGCTGCTTTGCCACAGCCCTTCACTTGGCAGAGTGCCCGTTGCTGCAAGGGCAGCTGGACACCCCTGTGCCCACCCCCCAAGCCCCTTTGTCCCCCATGCACATCTGCTGGTGGTACGCACTGGAAGCAGTCCCGCTCCCCGGCCACGCTCTTCAGGTATTGCTTCAAGGAGCTGCAGAACTCACTCAGGTGCTTGTGTGACACCGTCATCTCATCCCGCACCAGGAGGAGGTACTGCTGGGCCCCCAAAACACAGCAGTATGACAGACCCCCAAAAACATGGTGACACCCCCCACCCCAAGGGCAATGCACACCGCAGGGACACCTCAGCACCCCAGGGTGCTCTCACCGTGCAAGCCGTGCTCTCACTGTCTGACAGCCGCTGGTGCAGGTCGAACCAGAGGGTCTGGGGAAGGCGGAAAAGCAGTGGGAGGGTGCGCTGAGGTTGTGTGTCCCTCCCAGGCTGGTGGGTTTCTGTCCCCAGTGCCTGGGGACATGATGGGCTGTGCCCCCTTCTCTGCAGGGAGGGCTCTGAGACCCATTTGCCCCTTCCATAAGGACCCTCTGCAGAGGCTCCCTGAGCAGCCAACATCCTCACCACCATGTCCTCACACTAGTCCCAAGACAGCCGTCACCTTTCAGTCCCTGATTGTCCCTGGGGTAGGGGAACCATCTCTCCTCAGTGCCTACTTGTGCTTTCCCAGCCCTTGGGACACTGTTTCCTTGGGCAACCATGGTTAACACTTTTTTGCCCTCACCCTTCACAGCACCTCTCTGCCCCCATGTACAGCACCACCTTTTCGCTGCCTCCTTACGTCCTGAAAGCACAAACCAGAAGGATTTTGGGAACATCTCTTGTACTAACATTTTCTCTTTCAGTCCCTAGATGGAGTAAGGCTGCCTCTGCAAGAGCTGCTGCCTTCTTCCTTCCTTATGTTTTTTTCTTGTTTAAATAAACCCACAGTTAATCATTCCACATTACAATAGCTGCCATCAGCTTATCAGACGTAATATCCTCCAACCCCACCATCACCCACCCAGCTCCCATCACCATGCACGCATGTTCCCACCAGCACCACTTCTTGGTCATCTCAGTGCCAACCAGGACAGGAAGCTGTGGGCCCCAGGGACAGCCCCATGTGTGGAAATGCTGGCCCTTACCTTGTCCTCCAGCTTGCCAATCAGCTCAGCCAGCCTGTTGATCTGCCTCTCCAGGCCCTCCACCTTGGTGTCAGGGGAACCTGCGTGGAGCCAGGAGGCAGCGATGGAGAGGCCTGCCTCCATCTCCTCTCTGCCTCCCAGAGAGGCACCCCTGGGCACCCTGAGAGCCCTGCTGCTCTCCAGGGAAGTCTAGCATTACCTCCACGATGCTGCTGGGACCACAGCTTCCTTCCCTGAGCACCCTGAGTCATCTCAGGCTGTGAGTACAGCTGGAAGCAGCCATCACTTACCACTCTGGAAGGTCTTCCCCTGCTCCCTGGGGACCATCCAGCTGGTGGGAGAGTAGCTGGGCACAGGGCTGTCGTACCAGGTCTCCATCAGACCATGGCCTGTCTTGCTGGGGTAGTGCCTGCAACCAGAGAGCACACAGGCCATCATGGGGGGCAGAGCTGGGCACATACAGTTGAGTGTAAGCCAGTCCCAGGGAGCTGACATTGGAGTGTCCTCTTTGGCACTTCTGCCACCAGCTCCAGACCCCTTGGAGAGCAGCAGTGCTCACACAGCACAGGCTTCCCTTCAGTGCCATCATTCAGCATTAAAAGCAGCATCAGCAGGCTGCTCCCAGCAGCCATCACTTTTCTTTCCTGCTTAGGAAACACTTGAACTGCCCATCTCTTGCAGCCCGCAAGTGTATTTACTCCTCTAGACAAACACCACAACAGTGGGGCACCTGTAGCTATGTCCAGGCAGCTGGCTGCACCTTAGTGGGGCTGGTTTTGCAGTTGGGTGGCTTTGGCTACTAACACATGGGAAAAGTGGTTGTCATGGCTGCTTGGCATGCACCCCACCAACAGGCTCTATTTCTCCTGGAGAATGGAGACATATTCACTGTAGCAGCTCCTCCAGCTTGCTGCTTCTTCTTCTTCTGGGGCTACAAAACCCATTTGGCCTGGGTCATCCTGCATCACCTCTTGGAGAAAAGCATATATGTGTGTATGTATACACGCACGTGCTCATGCATGCATATACCCCTGAGTCATCAATGACCACCCAGTGGTTCCCCCAGGCCCTCGGTCATTTGCAAACTGGAGAGGATGCTAAGACCTGCCACCCCAGCAAGGGTTTGTAGCTGCCATCCCTGTGTGGCAAGATGGGAGTGAGCTTCGGGTAGGATGACCTTCACTTCCTCCTCCACTGACGGGAAGCCGCAAAGGGTTTTCAGTGTTTCCTTCTAGCAAGAGCAGCTCTATGCTGCCTGTCTGCTGATGGAGGTACCTGGGAGCCTGACTCCTCTTGGCATTTCTTGCCATTCACGCAGCTCACAATGGAGACAACATGCTGAATGCCAGGAGCCAATATGCATAACACTGGCCAGCACTGTCCTGTCCTCCTGTCCCTCCCCAGGCACCCAGCTTCTCTGGAGTGCAGCAGCTGGATGTCCTCTCTACCTTCCCTGTCTACCCTGAGCAATTACAGCTGGCTCCTTTGGTGCAAAGTCTGGGCTGCTACTGTCCCCCCAGATCAGCTGATGGAGACTTTCACCATGTACATGGGAACATGACAAGCAGATCTGGCCCTGAAGAACATTCCCAAGATAGGGAAGCAAGAATAATGATAGACGGCAGGAACATCCTTGTCGCTACAGACTGTGTGATAATCCCCCTGCCTGCGCAAAATAATCCCCTGTCAATAGGCAGGAAATTAGGTGATAACAGACAGAGATTTCTTTTTAATCACAATTTAATGAGGTGTCTCAGGCTTGGACATCTGCCTTTGCATTTCATTTTACAGACCTTTATTTTGGTGCTTTTTAGGCCACCCCTTTGTCTTCATGTGGATACATAAGATCATCTTTTGTGCGTTTGGTAGTGGTTTTTTTTGCTATTACTACCATGAGAAAACAAGTACAATGCTACTCATTATGAACTGGGCCCACACATCAGCAAATAACAGCCAACAAAGTCTTTCATGGGTTCTAATTGCTGTGTCTTACATTTGGTTTGTTTTCTCCTCATTGTTTCCCTTTTACTTTTTTTGTATAAGGTTTGACACAGTCTCTTTCCAAAACAGGGAGAAGAAAGTGATATGTGGGATGAAAACCAGAGCATCCCTCCTAAGAAAGCTGGTGAGATGTCACCAGAGCTGCCCAGGGTCTCACTGCTGTCCCCAGGCAGCAACAGCTCCAGTGAGAACAGCCCAGTGCTGTGTGTCCAGGGTGCAACTGCTGCTGATGTTAAAACCCAAAACACCAAGATCTGGCTGCTGTGAAGCGTTTGGGCACATCAGCCCCTGTAGTGTCCCAGCAGGGAGTTGGGATTTCCATGTGGTTTTGGCCTCCTGGTTTGCAAGGACAATAGGAGCAGGATTCACTTGATCAACATATGATGAATGGTTTCCATGGCAACTTGTCCTGGTTACAGCTGGTGACAGAGAAGTGAGTGACACAGTGACACCAAGTGACCATCTGGGCTATGCTGCCAGGTACCCCTTATATTTTAGCTCTGGCAGCACTTGAGAAAGCTTGGAACTCTCTGCTCTGCCTTCTACAATCCTGGTAGCACATGACAGGCTGCTGGGATGGGGATGGCTCCCTCACATGGGACCCGAGGGCATGGTACCTGTCCCCAGCACACAAGCACCTTTTGCCTCTGTGGATTTCACCTCGTGGGTGCCCAGCAGGAGAGACAGCATCCCTGCCATGGGAAGCCACCACATGGGCTGTCCCCAGCACACCCCAGACACAGCCACCCTGCTGCTGGTGCCCACATTTTGCCCTGAATGGGACCAGTGGATTTGCTCAGAGAAGCAGCCCCATGCACCCAGGGCTGCGCAGCCCCAGGGTGCTGCCCTTTGCATCTGCCCCTGAGCTGCTCATGGGTGAAAAGGTCAAGAGGGACCTTTAGGGCTGCAGGAGAGTAAGGGACAGGGCAGGACACAGTGGTGGAGGAAAGCCCTGAGAGCTCTCAGGAAGCTGGGAAGGGAGTGTGCCAAAATCACTGTTGGTACAGGAGAAAACTAACAGAAGTTGCAGTATTATAGAAACATTTTTATGGTAAAATACCACTTGAACCAGCCTGAGAGTTGCCACTTTCAGGACGGTTGGTGTGTGTGGAATCCACTCCACAAGTTTCCCTAGGCAACACAACCTGCTATCATAGAGGAGCAATGGAGGGTGGAGCAGAGTGGAGACACCACGGCCAGGCTCTGCTGTACTCCCTGCAGACTGGGGACTGCGAACTTGGTACCATGCAGCTGATAAGCCACATAACAGCTGTCAGAGGGGAAATACAAGAGATGATGTCTGTTGCTGAGCCAGAAGCTGTGGAGAAATCAGTTCCCTTAGGTGAACCTTGCTAATTATAATCTCATCATAATACTAACACACACCTCCATCCCAAAGTTACCCACATCCAAGGTATGACCACCCCTCACCGATCACATGCTTTAAACTTTTTATGATCTGTATCTTTAAATGAGAAGTGAAAGAATTTTATGCCATCAATAACAGAAGAATTGTGAGGCACTCAAGCTCCCCCTGAGAGTAAAGAAAAGTATAAAAGTGAATGAGAGGGGAGGGAAGATAAGGAAAACTCCATCTTAACTTCTGGAATCATTCAATGGGCTGAACCTGTCTTCTACCACCTATGGATGCCTATTGGGCAAGAACTTCATCTAATTCACGCTAAATAACTCGCGCTAGCTGTTATTAGTGATTATAGTATGGTTGTGTATCACTTGTTTTTGTGATAGCTTTTGGTTGGTTTTGCAGACAATCCCTATTACCAGCAATCACAAACCTTAATTTGTCATGATTTTATATTAATAAAGAGTGTTATTCCATAAAGTGCTAGTGTTAGTCCTTTGTGGGTGCCAGCAGTTGCTGACAGTGGGTAACATAAAGTGGGAAGACCCCCTGATGCTGTTGACATGTTTCCCTGAACAAGACAGTTGAATTGCCCTCCCATCCAGCAGGACTGTTCAATCAAGGGTCCCTATAACAAGGGTCCCTATAACAACTGACACTGGTTGGCCGCAAGGGTCTTGGCTTTCCAGGGGCACTGATAGACAAATCAAACATGAGGGGTCGAGAAAATCTCTTCCCCCACCCCCATTTCACATAACAGGGAAGCAAAGGGAAAAGCAGCTCTTTGCCTTTTGCTCCCTGCACACCATCTGCTGCATTTTCCCTCATCCCACAGAATCATCCTCTCCCTCCACTTCCTGCACCAGAATCACTCTGGAAGTCAAGAGGAGGGCAGGAGGTGCTGCAGACCTGGCAGGATTGGTTTGCTCATCAATGGCATCCACGGCACTCTCCACAGAGCTCAGCAGTGACTGGGTCTGGTTAGCCGTCTCCTTCAGCAGGAAGCGGGTCACAAACTGGTCCACATTGCTGCCACTCTCGTACACCTGCCAAGGCAGACAGTGAGCATGGTGAGACCCACCACTGATCACCCAGCACCACTGGTGGTGGAGCATCCATCCAACATCCCATGCACAAGCTGTGTCCGCAACCACAAGGGCCACAGGAGGAATGAGCATGCACTTTCCCACCCCATGGGAAGCATCTTCCAACACCCATAGGTCACCCAGTATACAGCCCTCCATCATCCATCAGCCCTGGGACACACTTGTAGAGGCTGTGACAAGAGGCAGTGTGGGCAGCAAGGCACATCATTTTTATATCTAACAGCAGAGCAACAAAAAGGCGATTACCCAAAGCCCATCGTTGCTCACTTCACCGTGATCTTAAATATACCATTGCCTTGCAGGACAAGACACAGCAGGTGCAGGTATGAAAAGTGCCCCCTCCTGTGCTTTGGATCCCTGCTCTGAGAGCTTCAGCATGCTATTTAGTGCCTTAATCCACAGCAGCATGGTTGATCCAGTGCTAAAGTGAAAGTGGTTTTGGGATCATTAACATGGCTCTTCCCAGGCAGCTGCTAGATGAAGATGCCTTCAAGGCAGTGGCAGGGCCCACCAGCTGTGACACAAGAGCCTCAGCATATTTTGACATTAGGGTTTTTTTCTGAAGAGGGAGAAAAGGAAAGTTCTGTCCATCTGGGGCCAAAGGCAGGGTGTAGTGGGAATGCCTTCACCAGGAAACATGCTGCTCCCGAGGAGCTTTGGTGAAAGAAGACAAGGTGTTCAAGCAACAGCAGCTTCTGGGGTAATCCAAACCCTCTCAAGACAGAAAACACTTAATAAAATGTGTTAACAGCACAGCTGATATGCTTAAAGCACCCAGGGTCCCTTCCCCAGCACAGCCTTGCTGTGCCCTGTCCATGGCAAGGTCCTGCTCCTCCACCTCCTGCCAGCCAACCAGCTGAGGCAGCAGACTGGCACAACTGGACCAATGCTGGCACAACCAGCCCAACATTGTCCCAACACTGTTCCAACACCAGCCCAACTCATCTGACCCCAGCCCAACCACACCAAGACCAAGCCACTGGCCACACCAGGTCTGGCTGAAGCTAATCATTTGTCATCAGAGCTGAATAAACTTACGGTGACAAAAAAAGAAAGGCTCCTCTAAACCCAAACTTACTAACATCACTTTTCCCCAGTCTTTTCCCAACCCATCAGTGCCTGGTGGGACAGCATGTGGCCCAGACAAACACCTGCTGGGTAGTCTGACCCTGTGTGGGTCTCCTGGCACAGGACTTCTCCAGCCTACATCTATTTGGACCAAAACCATCCTGTGATTCTGTTATTCTGTGACATGACATGAGGATGTATGCTCCCTGCTCCCTTCATGACACTGGCAATCACCAGACTCAGGGGTGAGAACAGAGCAGTGGCAGCACCACCAGTTATCTGACATGCAGCAGCACATGAGTATCCCAAGCTCCTCAGAGCAAATTATTCCTGAGTTATGGTGAAATGATTAACGAAGGTTATTTCTATGGCAACCAGAGCAGCTCTGCAAGAATCCAGAGGACCTTTATCTCCTGTATTAAATCATAAAAGAAAAATGAGATGAAGAAAAACACTTCTGGGGAAACTGGACACAGAGCTGATTTCTCACCCCTAATTTGGTAAAGGAGCATGAATTTCTTGATGGATTCTTAAGCATCAAACTAGTGCGGCAGTTAATGACTTGCCTTTAACGCAAAACCTTGTTCCTTCCCCCTCCTCACCACGGTGTTTCTGGGGGACACACATGATGTGGTGAGTATCGCTGAACAGTGATGCTGAGCCAAGCTGCCATGCAGTGTGCTGTATTCATTATCTCCTGCAGCTGCTTGCTCTAGCGCTGTTGTGTGGCAGGGAGGAAGACATAAGGAGGGCAGGGATTGATGCTCTGCATTTCTTTTTCACCAGCACAACCCATCCCAGGGCACTGGTAAGACAGGGAGAGGACTGGCTCAAGGCACTCCATGGGCTGTAGTAGACCTGCATGAAGACCAAGCACTGGGATGCTCATCAGCAGCACACATGAGACCCTGCCACTTTTTGAGCCTTTCTCCAAGTAGGACCATGCTCTCCTTCACAGCCCCAGCACAGCATAGTGCACTACATCAGCAGTACCATTATCTGATGGTCGGGTCAGAGTGAGGAAAGCTGACATCAATGCAGGATATGAGGAGATGCATCAGAAGACCTCAGGAGGCTGGCTGCTCTTCCTTGCTGGCTATGCAGTTGCTGCTGGGCTTTTTAGACCAGGATGCTCTTGTCACCATGCCAAGCTCAGACATCTCCTGAGCAGGTCCTGCCCAGTTTTTTCTCACCCTGTGTAGGCAGGCACAGTGATGAACATGCAATCTGGGACCATGGGTGTGGCAGCTGCAGGAGAACAGCATCAGGGCCCTTCTGTGGGAGGCATGGGCACCACCAGAAACAGCAACAGAGCCAAGGGAATGATATGAAAACATTTGATGAGAATTTGGATTGGGAAAAAAATGGGGATGCAGTCACAAGTATTCTTGGATAGTTGAGCTATCTCTGCTCTGCCTAGGAAATACAATTTGTTCAGAATATGCAGTATACACTATATACATAGATGTGTGTATTCTTTCTAAGCACCATATTATATATATACTCATACATATCACATCTAAACAAGTCTGTATAGGCAGTGTATAAAATTCACTGTCAGGGTACCCCATTCCTCATCTTCCTCTGCCAGTACCCTTGGAAATTGCCCCACACCAGGCCAAATCTGTCCCTTCACCCGGGCAATTATTTTATCATTAAATACATTTCCACTATCCACACTCTGCCTAAGGAGGGTGTATTAAACCAATATATCTCTTTGGCAAAGACATACTGCATTTGGGATCGGAAACAATTTCTTCTGTGGTTCCTGTGCTTCCACAGCTGCTCCCCCCCTTGCAAGCACCTGCCTTCAGCTACCAGTCTGCCCCTGATGAAGGCATAAAAAGATCAGCCAGGTGCTTAAGCAAGCTCTGGTATAATTACAGACTAACCCTCACACCCAACACCGCTCTGATTGCTGCCTCAGAGGAGGATGGCTGCTCATAGGCTCAGACTCAGGACCATGCTCTTCCTCATGGGTTTAATAAAGACTTGCAGGCCTCTGGGAGCTGCTGCTGCTAAAGGTGAAGCTGTGTGTGCTCCTGATTGGATTAGTCCTTTAATTAAGACTGAAGGTTTTCTGGGACATGATTTGCCCAGGCAAGCATGGGGGCTGGATGCAAGTGTGGGGCTGGCCAGAACTGGGGGCTGCACCAACGTCTCCCACTGCTGCTCCAAGTAATTTCCCTTTAATGCCCCTTTCCAGCAGGATCCAAAACACCACTACATTGTCATCCTCTAATAGTCACCCAGATCACATATCACATCCCCATGAATGCTCCAATTCCATCAACTGATATTATCCCATGCTGTTTATCCCACTCAGCTTCCTATCCAGAGGTGTGAAGAGTGCACCACTGTTTCATCCATTTTAATCCATACATCAAACAAATGCAGTAGCGTGCTGCTATGTACCTCCACTTTTCTGCTGCTCTCCAAGACCCTACAGCCTGTCTCCTGCAAATGCCACCAAAAAATTCGTGATCAATCCCTCCCATACCTTGTGTGAACAGATTGTTCTCCCCAGCACGGGAGCCTGCCTCTTTTGAAAAATCCTATTCATGAAGGTGCAGGTGATGCTGAGTACTGCCTCATCGTATGGACTGGCTCTGGAGGATAGTTGCGAGAGTTAAATGCATAGTTAAATGTTGGGATTTTATTACCTAACTGCCTATCAAGTTGGTTCAGCTTTAGGAAAAATCATGAAGGTGATTGCCATGTTCATTTAAATCAGCTTAACTCCCTACACTGGGATTCATTGGATGGATGGATGTTGGGTACAAAGCTATGCCAGCTAGTGCAGAGGAATATCGGGGTGCCTGTGAAGATCTGATGTGTTTTGACAGGCCAGTAAGTACAATAGCTGGATCTGAAATGTGTGTACTCAAAAGGGTTTTCAGCAACCTCTCAGGATCTCCTCTAGCAAACGTCTTATTTGGTGGTGTGAAAATCAGCTCATTAAGAAGACTAGCTCCAAAGGAATCCTTCCCATTGTCTTATTTAAACATTTGTTTGTCTGTCCTAGGGAGATTTAATGAGGTTTGGTCTTACTAATTCCACCCTGAAGAGTCATTTCTTCCTTGCTTTGCTTGAGAAGTTAAAATACTTATGGAGATGATATAATAATTACTTCTCAGTGAAGCTGCTTTGTGCCAGAAGCTCGTGAGGGGCACATCTCCAAACCTGCTCTTTTCTGTTCAGCTAGTCCATTAGTTCAAGGCTAGAAAGAGTTTGCCCAGCCGCCTCAGCCGCCTGGCCTTGATGTCTGCTGTTGCAAATGGGTGGCTGTGTGCATCTGCAGTGAGAAGCAAATGTAAAAGCCTGCTTAAAAGGGTGGCCTTGAGATGTCTGCAGGCGATAGCTCTTAGGACAGCCTTGGGAAACGTCACTGTTTGACAAACCAGGCATGAGCCAGAGACATTGAAAAATGAGAGAAGGAAAGAGTGGGAAAAACACAACTTGTTTTAGCCACAGGTAATTGTGAAAAATATTGCCCAGTGCTGGGTCTTCTGGTCAGTTGACTGAGGTGCAGGCCTCAAATCCCACTCCTTCCCTCACATCACAGGCTTTTTCTGTGCCTGTCATGTACCTTTCCACACACAGTGGTAGTACACATTGTGACGCAGGCTGCTCAAAGCCCCACCACAGCTCTTCCAGCTTTCCGTTTCCATATGCACCTGCCTCAAACCTGCCCAAATTCTGGCACAAGTTAAAGAAAACACCCTTGGTATGTGTTATCTGTGCAAACTGCTGCTGACATTTTGAGGCCATTGACTACTTGCACTTGCCAACACCAGTGTCAAGCATCCCTTACCAGGCATTGCAAACTAATGCCTAAAACTGGGCACTCATGGCCAGTGTTGCTGTGGGTA